ACCCGTAAAAAACTTTCACGGGGCCGTGCGAGTTACCCGCGGGTACGGGAAGGCTGAATTTAAATTAGCCGCGTCACACACTGGCGGGGAACACAGTTGAAAGTGCGGGACAAAATGTGGAACACGCACACAAACACACACACACAAACACACACACAGACAACCCCGTGACAATACGCGTTTTGTAACGCTGTTACACAGCACAAAACGTATAATAAAAAGGTACAATGTGGACTATTAAAAAAATAAATTAAAGATCAACACAGCTAAAGTGTTACAAAGACACAGAAAGGAATTTTATAAATTATAAAAATATCAACGGTGCTAAGAAAAATTTTAAAAATATTACTTGCAAATACAAAATAATTTAATTCTAGTAAAATAATAATAATTTAATCCATTATCGTGAGTCAAATTTGCGATCAGCAAAATATTCGTTGTTCCAGAAGATGCTGTTTATGCTCGTACGATTTATGGTACTGAATACGCTGATAGGCTTTGGGGCCTTCCTCAAGCAGTAACATCTACGTTTCCAAGTCTTGACAGCAGTGCTACAATGGTTTGTCTGACCAGGGTTCGTTTTCTAGTAATATCTAAAAATTTATCACCATCCCGACCCTGAAAAAAATAAATTATCTTCACGCATAAATAGGTTTATTGTCGCAGAAAAGCTGCTAACTGCCAGCCAAGAAGCTGCTACAAGAGAAAAGAGAAGAAAAGAAGGGTGTACTTGCTCTGAAAGACAGACACACGGTAGGTGAGTTGCCAGGCTGAACATGGAGCACAAGTGCCGGTGGTGTAGTGGCAAAAAATTGCCTACGGACGTGAAGAGGAGTGGTTCGATTCCATACCAGTCCAAAACAATTTCTGAAAAAAGGCCCCGTCCACACATTTAGTGCTTCTCAGTTTTGCAGAAATGCGCATCTGTCAAGCGTAGGAGACGTAGCTGTTTTTCGCTAGAGATAGCAGGCTTCTTAGCCTTTAAGCTGTGGCCGGAACTTTTAGCCAAGTGAAGGCCTGCTTTTCTGTCAGGAAAAAATAAACAATAGCTCGAACCAGGAAGATCACTGGGCATATTTCCTTTTCAACGACACGATGCGCATGAGTAAAAAGTTTGGCTTGGTGAAATTTGAAGCCGTAAGAATAGGACGATTTATCGAAAGTCCTTATCCTGCCTAATGTTATTTTTTCGATTTCTTCCTTCCAATGTTATACACAGTTTCGATTCTTACTGTCTATATTTATCTGTTACCATTTCTATATAAATACTTTTTACTTTATTTTTTCACTGAATGTTATACTTCTTGTTACTTATTTTTTTTTGTCAAAATTTTTCTTTCTTTTTACGAGATTTTGTCACGATTCCTTCTTTATCAAAATTTCCGTTATTCCTTTATTTTTTGTTACTTAAGAACGTAAATATACTTTCTTTTTTCTGGATCAATCGGTTGATCGAAATCGGTCAATCGGCCAACGACTTTATTTCGTTTGCTTTTCTTCCTAAAGTGATACTGTCTTATCTAAAATGCATATTTGAAAGACACAAAATTTTTCCGTTTTAGCAAAAAGCTGGACGATTGTTCGGGAATGGTATCAGCAGATATATTGATTCCGCTGATCCAAGATGGTACGTTACTCTGGCAATAGCGCTAACAGCTGTTTAGTGCTAGCCAAGGAGTCACAAAAAGTAGGGGCAATCATACAATTACTAAAACTCGGCTAGGCTCGGCTCGGCCTGCACCATACACGATTTGAGAAATTTTTCCTTTGCAATGACGGGTAGGGCTGCCCCACGGCAAATGGCGGGAGTTCAAATGTAGTAGGTAAGAGAAGGTGGTGTGCTGCGGGTTTCCGAGGGGCAGAGGAGGGCCGCCGGGATAAGTGGGCTTAATGGCAATGTGGCGTAGATTCCTTGTCAGTTGGTTTGATTAGGTACATTTGGCGGGGGTGATGGGTGGAAATGAGAAAGAACAGTGCTCCTGGCTCTTTGTTCCA